TACTGTGACCTTAGCTCGAGAGGAATACGATGGAGACTAAGTGTCTTCGGAGTTCAACTCAATCGCCTCAACCAGGCGTAAAGTTGATACATCAACTAGAACTATTTATACCAAATTCCTGTGTGCTCACTGAGCCTACCCGGTTTCAAATTCCTCACCCACATACTTTAAGTTATTTCGTTGTTGAAGAATTTGTGATCTATCTTTCTGAAGAACTTGAACTGAAGACTTTCATCATGATGTTTCTTATTTCTTCAAGTCATCTTCTACATGGCTGAATGCATTTATGATTGCATGTTTTTCATTCGCATCTATCTTGTATGCATGCTATATGTTTCTGTGATGAATTAGTCTCGTCCTCGTTTCTATTTCTTCACTCTATTCTTCGTCAAATTCATCAAAATTTGATGAATTTTTTAAAATCTCCAATTCACCCCCCTCTGGGAGTAAACCCGCGCTTTCAATTGGTATTAGAACAAGGTACTCCCTTGTTCTATGTGATTTTGGTTTAATCACCTGGAGTTTTAGCTATGTCGACCGCAGGTATGATCAAGGTATCCTTTATGTGCCCCATCTTCGATTGCATGAACTATCTGCCATCTTGCAAAGGTCGGTCAATCCCAATTGAGTGACGGTCCATAGCTCACAGTTCATCGCCAAGATTCGCTTTTGCATCAGCCATCTATGCATTGTGAAGCTTATTTGGGACAGGATCTCTAATGTCTATGAAGGAGCTTACACTCATCAAGATCCCTGGCTTGTTGACTTTAGCTATTCCATCAAGTCTCGGGAACCTGATCATGCCCCATCATCTTCTACGACCTGCCTCATGGCAAGAGACACCAAGGTACTTCAACGTCCCTCATCTTCATCTAGTGATGATGAATCTGATGAAAATCTGACGTCCAATGATACATCTCTATTGTATCTATAGTTTTTGATTGTTTCATGCCAATATTATACAACTTTCACATATTTTTGGCAACATTTTATATGATTTATTGGACCAACCTATTGATCCAGTGCCCAGTGCCAGTTCCTATTTGTTGCACGTGTTTTGTTTCGCATAAAATCCATATCAAACAAAGTCCAAACATGATAAAATTTATGGAGAAGTATTTTGGAATATATGTGATTTTTGGGTCTTGGGATCAACGCAAAAAGGGGCCCATAGTGACCACAACCCACCATGGCACGTCGGGCACCCCATGGCGCACCCAGGTGTCTTATGTCGTGCTCGGTTGGGGCCCTTCTTCCGGCGTAAGAAAGATAATTTATGGAAAAAATCGTGTAAAAATTTCAGCGCAATGGGAGTTACATGTCTCCGGGAATTTAAGAAACGGTGAAGGGGCCCTTCTGGGGAACGTGAAACAGAAGAGAATAGAGAGGGAGATCCAATCTCGGAGGGGCTCCCACCCCTCCACCGCCATGGAGGCCATGGACCAGAGGGGGAACTCTCCTCCCATCTAGGGGGGAGGCCAAGGAAGAATAAGAAGGAGGGGAGCTCTCTCCCCCTCTCTCCCAGTGGCGCCGGAGTGCCGCCAGGGGCTAGGATCGTGACGGCGATCTACATCAACAATCTTGCTACCATCAACACCAACTTTCTCCCCCTCTATGCAGTGGTGTAACACCTCTTCTCCCCGCTGTAATCTCTACTTAAACATGGTGCTCAACTCCATATATTATTTCCCAATGATCTATGGTTATCCTATGATGTTTGAGTAGATCCATTTTTCCCTATGGGTTAATCGTGATCTTGGTTGGTATGATTGTATATTTTTTTATGGTGTTGTCCTATGGTGCCCTCCATGTCGCGCAAATGGAGGGGCCCCCACTATAGGGTGTTGCAATAAGTACATAGTTTGCTTATTGTCGGTGTTGCGGGGGTGACAGCAGCATAAACGCGGATAAGTGGCTTATGGCGTATGGGAGTAAAGAAGACTAGATACTTAGTGCTATGGTTGGGTTTTGCGACCTTAATGATCTTTAGTAGTTGCGGATGCTTGCTAGGGGTCCAATCATAAGTGCATATGATCTAGGTAGAGAAAGTATGTTAGCACATGCCTCTCCCTCATATAAAGTTACAAGAATGATTATCGGTACTTGTTATCGATTGCCTAGGGACAAATGACTTTCTTGTTGAAAAAACCTATCCACTTTTATTACCTTGCAATTTATTCGTAGTTTTATTCTCGCAAAGTACTCATAGTTTTATTCTCACAAAATAGTTTCATACTTGTTCTAGGTAAAGCAAACGTCAAGTGTGTGAAGTGTTGTATCGGTGGTCGATAGAACTTGAGGGAATATTTGATCTACCTTTAGCTCCTCGTTGGGTTCGACACTCTTATTTCTCGAAGAAGGCTACAAACTATCCCCTATACTTGTGGGTTATCACCAACTACTCTAAACTTGCTAAAATCACCACTAGGCAACAAACTGCTATGGAAAGGATTCAAAATTTGTTAGACAAAAGCGATGACCCGATGAACAATGAAATGGACGTAATCAGGCTCTGACTGACGATCTCGAAAGTCTTCAGCCAAAGTATGATGAACTTCAAAATCGTCATGTCACCTTCTCAGCCGAAGACGAGAAGCTGTCCTATAAATTTCTTCGAAGGAAGCAAGATCTCGACAAACTGAGAGCGGCTCAGGATGATCTTGAAAAATAATAATTCTTTACTTGCTCAACAGATCGGTATCTCTCGGGAATAATTTGTTGCACCTTCCTTGAAATGTCTTGAACGTGAAAATGCAAATTCTTTGGCTGAGTGTTCAAATGCTTCAGTTTCTGCAATATCTTCAAATGTCTCTGTGGTATCAATCCCCTCATTTGAGGATACCACAAGTGTTACTGACAAAAATGCAGGGCTGAAGGAATCATATGTCACCGACATGTACAAAAGCCTCAAAGGGCATCAAACCCTTTGTGATGTGCTCAAGTAGATTTTGAACAAGAACCCTAGGTAAGAGAGTATTGCTTTCGAAAGAAAGCTCAATGCATATGGATCATATTGGAAACATGAATACTATCCCAAAACCACCTGGGTTGCTGCGAAAGGACCTCCTGTAGATCCATCCACTCTATCTGGTTACCACTGTGATTCTTCATATTTGTTAGATGAGTCATTTGACTCTAACTAGCTGTTCAAAAATCAGAACGGTGAAGTATTTACTAGATTTTTTGGTACTAATTGCAGGAATGGCCCCCCAATGAAGCAAATATGGGTGCCCAAAAGCCTTCTACAAAATCTTTAGGTGAATGTCATCATGAAACCATCGATGGACATCCCAGAGAAAATTCTTCACATGGAGCAAAGTCATCAAATGAACCCAGACCTACTAATGGTTCCGCTAATACTTATGTTTCTAGGGGAAACAAACATCGGTCTGATGAATATGTGCATTATTCTTCGAACCACTACGTTCACATATCATCGAAGAATTTCTCTACATATTCATTTGAGTACTCTAACCCCCCTGTGAATAGGAATGCATATCCTCATTGCCTAAATTATCTACCAATGTGCTTCGATACATTGCTTCTTAGCAATCCATTCAGATGTGGATGATTAAAAATAAAAACTAATCTCCTCTACGAGGTCAAGTTTTCAGACAACAACGAATGTCTGATGAAATTGCTAAAGAGTTGACAAATGCTTGTTGGGATGCAAGCTAAACATAATGATACAAACTTTTCATTTCACACATCCCCTATGCTGCTAAGATTACTATCATTTGATGAAATTCGTTGATGAAATTGATGATCATATTCTTCATACTAATGTTCTACAAAATGACACATCCAAAGCCACTCAATGAATATTGGACAAAGGCTGCACGAACCACATGACTGGTGATATGAAACTACTCACTGATGCTCCCCTTACACCGTCTCATCTGAAGCATATCACATACGCTGGCAAAGGGAAAAACAAGATACTGTGTTTAGGTAAGGTTGCTATCTCGAAGGACCAGCACAAGGGAAAACTGATGCTTGTCGAATCAACCTCTTGTTTGTCTTACTACTTTGTGATCTTGATATGATTGTCATCTTCCATAAATATAGATGCATTATGCTATTGGACTCTGACAAATCCAAAGTCTTTGAAGGCTTTAGGAGAGTGATTTGTACATTGCAGATTTATCTCTAGGTCCTCAACCCGCCTCTACCCTTCAACCACCGCTGCACTACTACCATTACCAAATTACCACCTCCGATGCGAAGGAGATGCCTACCAGCGATTGAGACCTAGCGATGGACCGTCGTTCGGAGTTGCGGCATGCCATGACACTCAAGAAGTAGCTCTCCACACCGGCTGAATCGCCCATCCGCAACTTTGTCAGGATCCCGCACGACGATGATGACGATGGCAGCGGCGCAGGAGACAGGTCGTGCAATCTCATGGACACCATCGATCAGGACATTCGAGGTGAGGGCGGGGCTGGTGGTTTGATCAGTTGGAAGCCGTTGCGCCAATGGCTCTGGGTCTGTCGGGTCGCGGGCGCATGGCACGCAACAGGGTCGACGACCAAGCCACCCCCGCCATGGCGAGCAGAGCCTCCCCGAGAAGCTGCAACAAGTACCACTGCTCCCCCGACAAGGGATCGATGGCCGTGGCCTTCTCCTACGCGTCGTACCTCAGCGCTGTGGTCGTCGACGACGATAGGAACATAGAAGAGGAGGTGGAAGACAATCATGAGAAGCGAGTTGCGGTGTCGATGTCACTGATGGCGCTGCAGGAGCAGATGGACATCCACTTCGAAGCTTTTGCGGACGGTGGTGCGTTCCAGTGCGGTACAATAAGCACGACCGCGACGAGGGGCAGCGATAGGAAGAAGAGGAGGAGAAGGAGGCGCATGTGTGCTGTGTGTGCATGGTGCGGCATAAGGGCATGACCTTCATCCTGTGCAGCCACACCTTCTGCCAAATCCAGCGGGCTCCGGCTCACACGCGGCAAGTGCCCGCTGTGCAACGTCTTCATCTAGGACATCCTTCACATCTTCTGAACTGGATCCTCTGCCATGTCTAGTAGCATGTCGCCGATCAGTCATGGGTTAAATTTTTCTTTTTAAATGGAGGCAAAAGCTTTGCCTCATCTCATTAAAAAGAAGGGGAGTAACAAACTAATTGAGGTCTTATGAGGTCATTACTCCTCTACAAATGAAAATATAAGCCTACTCCCGCGGCATCAAAGAACCCAAGTGCCTAGCCCTGGCAATGATCCAGTTTTTCACCTCCGCCTTAATGCCTCTGACCACCACAGTTGCCAACCTACATGTGTGTTGAAAAACTCCCGCTTTTCTCTCTTTCCAGACCTCCCATGAAACAAGCATGATAAGAGAAGACATCACTTTCCACCTATGACCATGGGTGAGAACCACCAAAGTCCACCACTCATTGATAGATGGTATTCCTGCCCATGTCACTACATCCAAGTCTGGCACATCCACCAACTTTGACCGCATTCCAAATTCGAGTGGAGAACCTACATTTGTAGAGGAGATGCGCCACGGTCTCCGGCTCCCTCTTGCAAAGCTGGCATAAGTTGCAGTTTTGTCAACCTCTCCGTTGTAGTCGATCGGCGGTCCAGACCCTATCCTGAATGACCAGCCATGGAAATAATTTGCACTTAGGCGGTGCCCATCTATCCCACACCATCTTGGGCATGGGTGAGATGATAGATCCCTCGAATTGGGCCTTCTAAGCCGAGGCCGCGGAGTAGATCCCATTGACGGTAAGGTTCTGCTTGATGTCGCCGGCAACGTTGTCATGTAAGTGCACCTCTTGAATCTTCCAAAGGCCGCAAAGTTGCTCAATGTGCTCCACCGAGAGGCCTCAAAAGGTTGATCCACCGGATCCAATTGCTTTCGAGCAAGGCCCCCTTCACAGATTTGTTCTTGTTGGCAGAGATCTCGAAAACTAAAGGTGCGAGATCTTTGAGCTTCTTTCCATCCAACCACGGAGAGTACCAAAACTGGGCCTTCCGACTACCCCCCACGGCAATCATCATCGTGTCATAGAAGAGGTCTCTGTAAGTGGAGTCACAGGGGTTTCCGTATCCCACCCACGCCCGTTACGGCTCCTTCCACTCGTACCAAAGCCAACGAAGCCGTAGGGTCCAAGCATACAAGCGAAAGTCAAGGATGCAGAGTCTAGCAAGTCGTTTTGGCCAGCAAACCAACCGCCAACTGACCTTGCACTGTCCTCTGGACACTTTGTCCGAGCCCAACCAAAGGAAAACTCTCTCGATGCCCACAAAGGCGGAAACAGTTCCCTCCGGCAGCTTCAAAGCCGTGGCATGGTAGGGGGCAAGGGAGGAGAGCACCGACTTGACTAACTCAGACCTGCCCACCGTGGTGATGAGGCGACCCTGCCATGGCACCAGCTTACCAGCCGCCTTAGGGCATCTCCACTAGGCTCCCCAAGAAGCCCCCCAGAGGCACTTTTTCAGCGCCGGCGGGCGAAAAACTGCCCACTCGCGCCCCCACGACCTTAAAAAACGCCGGATTTGGCCAAAAACACAGCCGGCGGTACCAAGGCGACCCCAGGCCATCGGGGGGCTGTTGGGGGCGGAGAGAGAAAATTTTGCATGTGAATGGCCCACTGTCAGCCTCCCACTCGTCTCTTCATACTTTTCCTCCCGGTCCCCACCTACGTGCTTTTCCCACATACTCGGCCCCCTGCTGGTCGTGGCCGCCTCCTTGCCGCACGCCGGCCTCTGCCTCCTCCGCCGCCCTCTGCTCACACAGCTTCGCCGCGTCGTCCTACTCACAGCGCGCCGCCGTCGCCGCCCTGCTCGTCGCGCGCCGGCCCGGGCTCGAGGAGCGGTGGCATTGGCCGGAGCTGGCGTGGCCGGGGCGGCCCGCGCCCGTGCCCGCCTCTGCGTGGTCGGGGCGGAGCTCGCCCGCTCCCGCGCCCGCCTCTGCGT